CCCTCCATGCTGATTTTCTCCTGACAACTACCCTACAAGTCAATAGGAGACAGACAAGAGTGGCATCTCTCCCAGGCTGAACAGCTAGTGGTGGAGCTGGGAAGCAATATCAATTTTGTGAATCCAGTTCCCATGCTTATTCTACTATCCGACACTACCTCTCTATTAATAGATGGATAGTAATCCTGTACCCTGTAGGATAGAGTGCAGGATCAGCTCTCTTGCACAACTTAATTTAACTGTCTTCTTTCCGATCCATTCTTTACTGACTACCCAGGGCCTGTGAGCATCTACTCCCTGAGGCATTCATTGCACCGTACAGAGCACAGTTTAACACCTTACATAATTCGTTTATTCCACATTGCCCTAGGTTGACTAGGCTCAGTATTTATCATCTGTAAAATAGAGATAATAGGCCCACCCTATAGGTTTGTGTGTGTGGAAACTTATGTTTAATAATATGTGTAGAAGACGTGGAGAAGTGTCTGGCATATTGAAAACTTTCAACAAATGAGGATGCAAGACCATGGACTCCTGAGCTTGCTGCTGAGGTTCACCTCTGAGCTTTACCACCTTAACTGGTACAGCACTGGGCAAAGCACTTCATCTCCCCACGCCTCAGTGTCTTCATCTTTAAAATAAAGATAATATTAGTGAGTAAGTTAATATGTGGAAAGCACTTAAAATAGCATTTGACATATTGTAAGTGCTATGCAAGTGTTAGTTGTTATGATTAGTATTGATTCCAGTTAGACCATAGATTGGTCTGGCATATTGAAAACTTTCAACAAATGAGGAAGCAAGACCATGGACTCCTGAGCTTGGCTGCTGAGGTTCACTACTGAACTTTACCACTTTAACTGGTACAGCACTGGGCAAAGCACTTAATCTCCCCACGCCTCAGTGTCTTCATCTTTAAAATAAAGATAATATTAGTGAGTAAGTTAATATGTGGAAAGCACTTAAAATAGCATTTGACATATTGTAAGTGCTATGCAAGTGTTAGTTGTTATGATTAGTATTGATTCCAGTTAGACCATAGATTGTTTTTATTGATTCACCCTTCACCCCCACCTACAAAACCTATCTTAGTGGTGAAACAAAAGATTCACTAAATATTTCTTTTGGGGTATGTTTAAAAAATCTGAAGTGATAAGGATTCACTGTGTTCTGCCCATACTCAGTCAGATGGAACACACTAGAACAGAGATTGAGAAACTTTCTGTGGAGGTCCAGATAGTAAATACTTTAGGCTTTGTGGTCCATGCTTTCTCTGTTGCAACTCCTCAGTTCTGTGATTATAGTATGGAAACAGTCAGACAATACATAAACACACGAGCATGGCTAT